CCTGATCGAAGTGCGATCTGCTAATATTAAACAACTCGGTTTAAAGTATAAGGGCAACGTGGCTGTCCATCTGCACAATGCAAGTTCTACACAAGACTCTTATCTCGTGTGCCTTTCATCGTGCTAAGAGGCTGGATACCGACAACATATATTCACGTGTCTAATTAAATATCAGCGACGGCAGAGCTTGAGTATGAAGTTCTCATATAAATCTGCCGGTATGTACCTTTGTATTCTACCTAACATGCTTTCCCATCTTTTCAATTACTGTCACAATTCTGTTCATTTTTATTCTTTCAAATTGAATTATTGGTGTACAGCTTGTAAATATGAGGTTCATTTTCGTGGCTTTTTGGTACATTTTCCTTTGGGTTACCACCACATTTGCAGTCCCGACCAGTGATCAACTTTTGCAACATGCACTCCCAATACCTCCCACAGATGATCCCTTTTATGTCCCACCAACAGGACTTGAAAACTCTCAGCCGGGCACGATCTTACGCAGCAGATCAATAGACGATCTTTCAATTGGAGGTGTCATGCCATTCCAAGTTAAGGCCGCATATCAACTTCTCTATAGAACGACTGATAGTTTGGGGGATGCCTCAGCAGCAGTCACAACAATCATTGTGCCCAAAAATGCGAACTCATCAAGATTGTTATCCTACCAAATGGCGACAGATGCTGCGTGGCCAAATTGTGCACCATCTTATATATTACAGTTGGGGTCAAGTTTAAAAAATGGGGGCTCTGGTGCGGCTGAGACCTTGCTGGTTATTGCTGCTCTCAATCAAGGGTGGATAGTCAATCTTCCTGATTATGAGGGTCTGCAATCAGCCTTCACTTCCGGTATACAAGCTGGTCAAGCGACTCTTGATTCTGTTCGTGCGGCTCTGTCATCTGGGGATTTGACTAGCATTTCATCTCAAGCCGAGTATCAAATGTGGGGCTATTCTGGCGGATCTCTGGCTTCTGAATGGGCAGCAGAACTTCAACCTTCCTACGCACCAGAGCTTAACTTCAAGGGAACTGCTTTGGGTGGCCTTGTACCGAATATTACATCTGTGATGCTCTCCTCTAACAAAGGTCTCTTCACCGGTTTGATTCCCGCTGGAGTTATCGGTCTCACCAATGGTTACCCAGAATTGAAAGAATATCTCCTCAAAAACCTTGTCCCATCAACAGCTTCTAAATTTTACAAAGCATCAACTCAATGTTTAGGTACCAATATCGCAAGTTTTCTTGGTCAGGACATAGGTTTATATCTTGATAATGGACTATCAACCCTGTTTACCAATATTGCAAAGGATGTCCTGGCCATCACCGGACAAATGGGTATATATGGGACCCCAAAGATGCCGATATTTCTTTATAAAGCGATCGGTGATGAGGTTTCGAAAGTCGAGGATACAGATGCTGTTGTCAGCAAGCTTTGTTCTCAAGGAGCTAATATCAAATATGCTCGTGATATGTTTGGGGGACATGCTACTGAAGCAATCACTGGCGCGGGTGATGCGTTTACGTTTCTAATCGACAGGTTTAACGGGGTTCCTATCGCATCTGGATGCACGATAAACAATGTCTGGACCATCACTTTTAATCCTAGGGCTATTACAGCACTGGGGCCTACGATTGCCGCTGCATTGTTAGCGTTGCTGCAAGTCCCTGTTGGCCCTTCGGATATGTTTTAAGAGTGAGGAGAGACTACTTGGGTATTATCGGTCATAGGGTGTTGGGTCGGTGTGATGTATATATGTTTTGTAGAAGGGGCGCAATGGTGTTTTAATCTCAAGATACTCATAATGACAATGGAAGATAGATTCTTAAGAGATCAGCGTGGATTTGGTTAGATAATTGTTTAAATTTCTTTAAGTTTCAAGTTTGTACAAATAGAATGCCATATTCCATGCCTCTCTGCCATACACCCTATCGGTGTATTGAACGCCGAATAAATGCACAAATGAGTTGGGTATCAATATCGTCCGCTATCCCAATCCTCAGTCCTGGGAATCTCCGTCTCGTTGTACTCCCGTTTCCCAAATATCAAAAATACTCCTTTCTCGTAGACTTCGTTGTGTATTTCCTTCTCCGTCGCCGTTTCTCCATCAATCCAGCGATGAAATTCGATAACCAGCCCCGAATAAGTGTTGAGATAACCAAGATCTCATCTACCTCTCAAACTATGTCTCTTATGCTTCTTCTCTTTCTTCTCAGCTAACATGGTAACCTCCTCATAGTACGGATATCCAATCCTGATCGGAGGTCTTTTTTCCGGCTCTTGCATGGTCTGTTCTCGTATTTTATGTGAATCATTTAATGAGAGTGAATGACGACCCAAGAACTTTCGCGGCGATGAAGGAGATCGAGCAGATTGTGAGCGTGATACTGATGGAGATGAGGTAGATGAAGTGGATGTTGAATTGTTTGAACGTTCAGAGTTTGTTCTTGAGGTTCGTTTGTATGCACATTGGGAATTTGCATCTCCTCTCGACTCATGTCGGTGATGATGTGAATGTGTGTTTCCCATTGCGACAAAGATTGTGATATTGGGAGTGTGGAATGGGTAGCACGCCAGTTCAACTCTGGATGCAAAAAGTTGCAGTAGGTATCTTTCGAGTATTTCAATGTAACAAGCATGTGATTAAGCTTTTTGTCAACAAACCTTTCGGAGGGGAGCACCCTGATACATATATAATATAATCTAAACACAATTGACTCACCGTTCCATTCTAGCAAGGCGGAACCAGGAATCCAATCCCTCCGTGGAATTCCACTTGATTTATTGTAGCCTAAGTATCCAAACGGACAAGACTCGAGACTCAATAGAAACTTACCACGAGAACAAAGTTTAAAAAAAATGTAGCAAAATTCTCGATTGGGGTTCACGTCAATTTTTTTACGTGCGTGATTACGGATCGGCATAAGGCTGAGTCCGAGTCCCGTGTCCGTAATACGTAGATCCGGTTTTCTAACAGGCATTCTCGTATGTACTTGGAAGGGTTTCCTGATGTTCATTGGTTGGCGGAGAGAAACTAGAGACGCTAGAAGAGTCAACATTACGATCCATCGAATAAACAAGTTAAAACAACTTGGTTTTCTTTACGATCACTTAAACGGAGACCTCGGGAATGTAAGGACGTTTCGTCGTCCGCCCCCAAAAGACCGCAACGTCAAATTTGACGCCGAGTTTTGACTGTTCGTAACATTGTGATGGTTTGATGGTTTGATCTGGGGACCGTGGCTCAGATATTGGGGAACTTGTCATGCCACGATGCAAAGCCACGAGATCGCCATGCGCCCAGAAATCATCTGATATGGAGGCACATGTAGGATTATTTCCCCTCTGTCGTGTCCTCATGGTGTTGGTAATTCTGAATTGGCGGATTTTACATTCGGACGAATGTAAATGCCGTCTGAAGTCCTCGAGCGGTCGGAAAATACCAAGAATGGGAGATTCCGTTCTTGGGTGCGTACTAGGCAACCTTGGAAGAACGAGAAATGTTCGGGAACTTGATGATTATGGTTATATTATGTAAGTAAGGAAGATTCCATGGAAGCGAGAGAAATTCGAATGTGGAAATTTAAGTGCGTCGAAAAATGCAATCGAGTCTCGTAATTGCGGCCGCTATTTAATTCTTGTCGGATCACCAGATACGAAGACTGAGTTATGTAAGCGCGGAAACAGGAGTGAGATCACACGCCGGAAACCCGGGTATGAGGTGATTGCTATGTACCTGGTAGTCTTTCAAGTATATGAACATGACTCTCTTGACCAAGTGCAGTGTATCGTGTTATAAGGCTGAGACCTTCTTCGTGTTCGATTTTATACTGCCCAGACAGACTATGTTTTATCTCCAATTTTGCCGAAGACGAATACATTGACTAGCGGTTGTGAGAAACGAAAGGGTTCGGATGAATCATATTTCCCGTCCCTGAGAGATCGATTTCTACACAAATCGCATCAGGTTACATATGTTGATGAAGCTTGGTTAGAAACTAAGATACTCACGGTCGCAAAATGAATACTTGTATCATAGTTGATTATGTGGTAGGCTTTGCGCCCGCTATGGCCATTTGCACATCTAGAATCGGATTCGAACGTTGGTGTATATGCATCATCCCTGGTTGGATAGACAGTACCTTACCTCGGCTCGGCCATATGGAATGGATAGATTGACAGGAGTTTCCTACCTTGCATGGACAAGTAGTAGTATTCACTTTCTTTCCCTAATTCTCGAACGGACTTCTGTTTCGAGTTGTCTAGTTTACTTTGAGATATTGTGATTAGGATGAATGGTTCTGATCAAATACTAGGCACTGTAGTCTTTCGCTTCCATACTTTACTTCGCCGAAACTTCGTAATGATATGGAAATACCTCGAATTCTCGAGTTGAGGTTTCCATAGTAGAGGTCTAATACATTCTCAATTAACATAATCAGAGAATCCTCTTTAAAGTTTATCTTAGACACTACTAAGGTCTCACGTCTCCCATCTACCTCCCACGCCTTTAATCTCAGCAGTACCTCCAACCAAAGGTATCAACATCTTCACTAAACATACTGAGCGTCTATGCGATATATGCTAATGTCCCAATCGAAACACTATCCCAACTGAAACACTGCTTTCAATTGTCACGTCTTTTGAGCAGGCGGTGCGCATTCTATCTCCTATATATCATCTGCACATCAAAGACAGGAAAGCCAAACTTCTTGAAGAACAGGTGATTGTGAATCCTTCTTGGCGGCGAAGTCGTGAAGAAGAAAATGTCGAATGCTCTTTTACGCTTGTTATTTTCTTGTGAAAGGAATAACAGCTGGCAAACACAACTCGATACTAGACCACCAATGGATGGTCCCCAACATCCCGTTGTTTGATCGATCGTGGAGCGAATCTAGTATCGCGCATCACGATTTTTAGTGGCAATTCGAAATTTAGCAGTCGCTGAAAGCTGCGCATAACATCTTGCCATAAGATTGTCCTCTCTGTCTAGATGTGATCGATGTATCTTGAGAACAGGATTTTGCTTGAGGAAATTCGCAAGAGCTATACCATTGATATTACAACGAAGAAGAAGGGACCGTCTCAAGGGATTCCAAAGTATCGCGACATGGGTCTTCGAGTCAAAACTTGGGGACAGCATCAGTGTAGGTAAGAGCAGACAAGCGACAAAGACTGGAACGCTAAGATATTCTCTAAGACAATCTTATCACTCTTGATAGATGTTTGAGTTTCGCCGACCCGAGCAAGCCGCAAACGAGTGTTCGTCTCAAGAATCTGCGTAGTCTTGACTAGAATGTTATGGACAATTCTATAGGCCGTGGCACATGCTTATCAACAGATTACCACTTTAAGCTTATTCACGTTCGGTAGAAGCGTAAGAAGAAGAAAGTAGGAACATTTTGTGAATACCATTCTTCCTTTACATCTTCCTCGATTTTCGCACGAAACACCTTCCAACTGAGAACTGCTGACTCGATCCGAGAATCGCCAATCGATATCATCACAGCCAAACAGCAAGAGTCTCTATCTTTAGAGACCACATATTGGAATAGAAAAACGTAATAGGGTCAAAAAGTACATGTGCTGAAATCAGCATTTTAAATGTAACGTGCCACAGCAGGTTCAATGGCAATACGGACCCTCACATCCCATGCTATTTTAATGGCAGTACCATTTCCACCACAAACTTTCTCGTCATCAGATTTGCGATCACCAAATCCGTGGTCGTTACCGTCATCGGAGTAACCGAAGTAAAGCTGTGAAAGGAGTCATTGAATTTGGAGTAGTATTGAATTAATGGTACATACTTCTAGAAGATTGATGCTAGCCCCTTGAAGTTTTCTGGAAAGGTATACTGGATGAATTCATGGAGAAGTTTTTGGACACTTCAGTGAAAGAATACTAGCATTGAACAGAGGAGTTGTAAGACTCGAGAGATCAATACAATCCAACTCAGATTGACCAACATTATGTGTTGAAAAGGCTCTTGCTATCACTTTTAGCGTCAGAAACTAATATTTCTGGACGAAAATGCTCGAACGTCTTGTGATACGTTTTGTTCTCGTCTTCTGAGGGGGGGAATTAACAATCTGATTTGGTTTTTTTGATCAAATTCGAATATACTTATTCAACATCAATTTCACTTATCAAACGAAAAGAAGACGCAAGAGGAGAGAAAAGCAAATCAATTATAAGAGATTGTTTACATCTGTCTCGCGCAATCCGCACACCAAGACAAATATTGAAAATGCTATCGGGCTTTGAACTTTCAAAGGATTGCATCAAATATGTATTGAAATAAGATCTCAAAACCGATTTCAAGCGAAAAGGAAGGTCAGTTGATTGTCAAATCTGAATTGGGATATTCAAATGTCGTGTCGATACCTAGGTACCGAGGGTTTGGGACTGATCTCGGGAAGAGATTTGATTGGCCAATTCAAACACATCTTTTGTATTTAGCCATACTTTACCCAACCGACCCTGTAAGTTTTATCCCTAACAAGATTACGTCCGCAATCAATTCTTCAATTGTTTGCCTTTTCTGGGGCATTTCTTCAGATGTTCTAGTTGTTCTTGGTACTATTCTTTTTGGTGTCATTCATCTCGCTTTGGATTTGATGGCAGCATTTAAGAACCGTTGAGATCGAACGAGATCGTCGAAACTACCGCACACACTAAAATCTCCAGAAGCTGCATCGGTTAGCAACCGAAGTCACTTCTTAGACCATGAGAAGCTTCTTAGCGATGGAGTACAACAATTGTTTTGTGTTATCGATGTACTACTGGGGTTTTATGGTCCCGCAAAGACTAGGATACAGATCTATGTATGCAGGCAAGTGCCAACAAAGTAAGGTCATGTTGAACAAAGTGGTGGTTGCAACCGACATATATATATGAACTGCACTCCCTCTCAGAATCTGATAAAGTCAATCGTCAACCATCATCAAGAAAGATATCGAAAAATGGGTATTCTCTTGACCTCACTATTGCTGATTCTAGCTTTCACAATATGGTATCTATCTGCTCTGCCAAGTAATTATCGTGCTGCGAAAAATTCCGGCTTGCCTATTAAATTTGGCTTATGGGGTTCGGCAAATCCATTATGGTTAGTGATTGCTGCCCTACTGTTCTCACCTCATCTTCTCAAACATAATCATTTATAGGCTTATCATTTGTGCAACTGTCGGTTATTCGAATCTATCAAAAGTTTTGCCTCGATTCATCTTCGATAGAGTTAAGATAACGATCCCCGCATGGGAACATTATTGCAAGCATTTTGTCCATGAAAAATGGGGTACTTCGTTTATTCTTGTTACGCCTGGGAAAAATACAATCTTTGTCGGAGACGCTGAAGTAGCCGAGGAGGCTTTAACAAGAAGAAAAGACTTTGCGAAAAATGAAATTGCTCTCCGTAGGTGTTTTCTCTTATCTCTGTTGAGTCAATACAAAGGCTAACTCGGGTGTAGGGGTTATGGATGTTTGGGGGCCAAATATAAGTGCATCAGAAGGAGAAGATTGGCAAAGACATCGAAGAATTGTAGCGCCTGCTTTGAATGAGCGAATCATGAAGGAAGTCTGGAATGAATCTCTAACACAAACTCAAGATATGGTTTCTACGCTGTCAAGACCGTCTATGAACGATGCATCAAGCTCGACCAACGTCACATTTGAAGGCTTGAGGACCATCACTATCAACGTGATTACATTCGTTTGCTTTGGTACCCGTCAATCTTGGGGAGAAGCTGTGAATGCGAAAACGCCCCCAGAAGGATTAGAAACTACATTCATATCGTGTTTACTGACTATTGTACGCAATCTATTTGCTACGGTATTCATACCTACGAAATACTTAACTTTAAAGTACATGCCGACTTCCGTACAGAAGATGGGTATTGCCAAAGCCGAGTTTCCCCTTCACCTGAATCAAAGTATTGCCGAAGAAAGACGTTCTCCCAGTTCTCGAAATTCTCTCCTCACTTCTCTGGTGAGAATTGCCGATCAGGGTACGGATTTTTCGCGCTCAAAGACGTTGACTTATTTATCAAACGAAGATGTTACTGGAAATTTGTTCGCTATGGTAAGTTCAGAATGAGTTCGTGTGAGAACCGCCCGGAACAGTTCTAATCAAATACAGACCGTTGGAGGATTCGATACTACGGCAAATACCCTCTCGTATGCTATCATGTGTCTAGCACTCTATCCAGAATTACAAAATTGGATCACCGCCGAGATCGACGAAGTCGAAAGGTTACATCCTGACTCCGAGTACTCTACCACCTTTCCTCTTCTTACTCGTTCTCTAGCACTAATGGTATGTATTAACCTCCAGCCTCACTTTGAAGCCAAATACTTTAGATACTTGGAATTGTCTTGATATTTACCTGAAATTAGTACGAAACGCTCCGTCTATATACATTAGTCCCTACCATAGCCCGCCGAACACCACAAGCACAAACCATCAAAAACATCAACTTTCCCCCCGAAACAGAAGTCCTGCTCAACACCAGTGTAATCCACACTTTACCTTCAATATGGGGTGCAGATTCATTAGATTACCGGCCCTCGCGCTGGATTGAAACGTCTCCTTCCTCGAAGAAGGAAACCTTTCGAGAACCTCCCAAAGGCACATTTTTAGCTTGGTCCCATGGACCACGCTATTGCCCTGGGATGAAAATGTCACAGGTGGAATTTGTCGGCGTGCTGTATGAAATATTCCGGAAGTGGAATGTGGAGATTGTGAGGAGAGATGGGGAGACCGAGGAGGATGCGAGGAGGAGGTTGATGGAAATTTTGGAGGATAGTTCGCCGAAATTGACGTTGCAGGTTAATAGGCCGCAGGATGTAGTTTTTAAATATGTGAGGAGAAAATAGGTATCACGAAATATATGTCTTTATTGCAGCCTTAGTTTGCGCAAACCTTGATCGATTCGAAATCGGAAGATTGTTACAAAGGTATCATGTTGATTTGTGTTGTTCTTCCTTGCATCACTGGAGCCCTTCAGTATCTTTCGGAGGTAGTTCTTGCTTTGTCGTTCGAGTTGAATCAACTGGATACTGTGAGAATTCCGTTACGCCATGCATTGTGTTGTTCAGCCGAAACAGGAGCTAGATGTTTGCTAAGAGCATGATTTTCAAGACTAATCGATAACAAACCAGTAGTGTTGATCTTTTCAGAGGATCTTATGGAGACTCCGCCGCTCGACATCCTAAAATGCACCACGCACTGTATGTTCAACAGGAGTGGGTGTCGGTGTACCGAATATATGCATTGTCCATATCTGCGGTTCCAAGCCTGCTCCGACTGAGGTCTCTCATGACCTCTCAGATTACTCGTCAACTGGATATGTGCATGAATGAGAAGCATTGCGAGGTTTCACGACTAACTATCGCAGCACGAATCCCAGTTCTTGAGGCGAGCAATCGCGATCGGTGCACCAGTGGTTGTACGGACATGGCAAAAAGTGGACTTGGGAATGTCTCTCCATGCCTAGATGTATCAATTCGTATATCTGGGGATTGTCGCAATGATTCATTGGAGATTGGACAATGAAAAGATGAATTCTGATGCCAAGCAATTGTGAAGAATGAATTTGTTTAAATTCCGAAAGTTGAGAAGTGTCCCGTCAGTCACCCATTGGCGGTATAGCAGTTTTAGTTCTGGCGTGCGCCGAGGAAGTATTTGTTGCGGTGGTGGCTTTCTGTTCCCAAGCAAATACCATTCGGGAAATGATTTTTGTCACTTCATTAGAAAAAAGAATATAAAGATAATTTCCAGAAGTTTCAATGGGTTGATCCTTTGAATACCTAGGAAGTGCTTCTGTCCCAAGGTAGTGAATAGCGAAACGCACGTGATTGCCTGATTGAGACGTGATTGCAATAATTACCAATGAGTACCTAGGTACGCGACGCGACGCGACCCGAACTCAATGTTCTCCTCACAATCCAATCTTCCTTGCATAAATTAGTCTTGATTGATAAATTGGCGTACCTCCCCTGGCTTCGTCACTAGAATAAGCTCATACAGGATGGGTATACCAGAGTAAGCTATGCTTTGCTATGGCTCACTAATCTCAGCTATCTAACATTCTTTCTCCAGACTCTGGCAGCTTTTCGACAAAGCTGAAATCGGAGAGAATATCTCAACTGCTGCGTTTGCCGCCCAACATTTTGAGAGGGAAAGAAGGCCCCTTAGAATAGCAGTTGATGTTTCTATCTGGAAGTTCAAGTGTTATTTAGATAAAAAGGAAGTGGAAGCCATTCGTAAAAGTATATCTTCCTTGACCATGCCGAATCAGAAATTGATATCCTCCGCTAACATTTAGTTTGTCCCCAGAGGTCCCACCTGCGAATCCAAACGAGAAGAACATTTTCTACAAGATATTGAAACTTCTTAAGTTGAATGTCCAATTGATTTTTGTCGCGGACGGCAGTAATCGACCAAAAGAGAAATATGGTGGGCAATCGCCATGGTACAAATATCTTTCACAGGATGACAAACTTCTCAAAAAGACAGTGACTTCCCTAGGCGTAATATGGCATGAAGCACCCGGTGAAGCCGAGGCTGAGTGCGCAGCTTTGCAAAGCCGTGGGGTAGTTGATGTCGTTTGGACAGAAGATTCGGATGCGTTCATGTTCGGATGCACATCTCTAATACGTTTCTGCCATGTTAAAAAACCCAAAGTAAAGAGGCCTGGAAACAATCAAGATTGGGTCAACGAATCTGATGAGACAAGGCGAGAGGTTGACCTCGATAATATCATTATTTATCGAGCAGATAAAATACAAAAACAATTCCCAGGCTTGACTCGAGATGGTCTTGTGTTATTCGCTGTCTTGAAGGGGGGTGATTACAGCAAAGACGGCAAAAGTCTTACAAACTGTGGCGCTGCTCTAGCGTTACAAATAGCGACTGCGAAGGAAGGTTTTGGCGAAGACCTTTGCAACGCATCTCATGCACAATTTCCAACTTGGAGAAACAGACTTCGCGAATATCTTGCACGCATCAACAAACGGATTGACGTACCAGATAACTTTCCGGACACTCGCATTGTTGGGCTTTACAACAAGCCCTTAGTCTCACCCGAGAGAATTACGAGCGATATTGGAAAGTTTTGGAACCCCTCTTTTGATGAGATGGAGTTACAAAGATTCATCGCTCCTATGTTCAATTTTTGGGTAGCTGAATATATCAAATATATTATACCTATTCTTCTCGTCCGTTCTCTTGCATCTACGCAGCCAGGGCAAGAAGCGAGTAACAACTGCTACAAACTTAATGTCATTACCAAGAAGAAATCGCCCGTCCTTCAGAAGAATGTAGAAGTACTGCTATCCGCGGTAACATTCATGGACGTACAAGCTTGGAGACATGAGTTCACGAATCAAGGTCGAAACGGAAAAGTAGCACCAGTCACTGAGATGGTCAAGTGTGAGGATTTACTGGCTTGTGTTATTGAACATGGTACCAAAAAAGCTCTTCCACCAGCTATACCATCCTCTGAGCGCAATAAAATTGTGGTGTCTCCCGAGACAATTTCCAAAGGTAAAAAACGTGCCGGATCGCCAATAGCTCTGACCAACACTGTCTCTTCGCCACATCAACAGCCACCACTAAAGAGAGCTAAAAGTACATCAGAGCAGATCTCAGAACCTAGCTCAGTTGCCAAAACTTCTACATAATCGGCGTTCACACACTCTGAAGTTTCACATCAAGCTCGAAATATCTCTTCGTCTAGCAAGGAGAATCCAGTGCGGAAGTTGGCAGGATTGGATAGGAATCCGAAATACCCTCAACTGAGAGATACAAATAAATCTTCGAGTACAACCATCGACCTCACACTCAATGACTCTTCGGACGAAGAGAACCAGACTCCCACTACCAGTGCTCGCAATAACAACTTTACCCCTATCTCATCACAAAACTCACAACTGGATACCATCCGTGAAGCTCGACTTAGGCATTTCGGTTCTGATAAGTCTAAGCCAGTATCTACACCAACAGCTCAAAAGTACATTCATAGCGTATCGCCAAATGCACACGGAATCTCCAAAGTCTCACCACTCGCTAACAAACCTCTTCCTCCGGGTATTAAGGACGACGATTTTGATGGGTTCTTTTCTGATTCATCTATTTGAAAATTTTACGACTTTACGACTTGATGATTATACCTTACTTTCATGTGGCGCAAATTGCTTGAGCGAATAGTATTAGGAGATGTTTTTGGTTTTGCTTGTAAACATTCGATTTGGCATTCATGTGCTGCACATAGCTTGTATAATACTTGCAAAATATTTAATGGTGATATCTACCACCAAGAGTGCCTTCGTAAATTATGTTATATAGAAAAGGTATTCTCAGCGAAGTAATCGTATATCGTTGGTCATGCATTGCACTCCCGTGTATCCTGTTCCTTGAATCGTCTATTTGAAATGAAAAGCAATCCCGACAAAGCAATCCTCCTCGGGACTGTTACTAGTGACAAGCTTAGCTATACCGTATTTATATTTTGATCAAACAATCAATCAAACAGAATTGGAATTCCATCTGTTAGTTGTCTCATAACTATCGAAATGGCTTGATATATTTTATGACAGAAATATTGTTTACATATCAGAGGGATGCGGGTTTCGAATAAAGGAATTGGAATTTCCATATCTTTTCCCTATCTCAATAATTCAAACCAATCTTACGCCATCATAAAAACCAATCCTACTTATTCGTAAAAAACACTCAAGATTTGACCTTCGTATTGATTGATACTCGATCTATTCAAAGACAACGACCTCGAAACCCACTCACATGCCTCATTAAGCTAGCTCATCCACCCCACCATCTCCCTGTGCACATCTCTTTCTCTCCAAACCCCAAAATGGGCATTCCTGGGTAAGTTTTCGTTTGCTTCTTTCCGGTCACAACACATGCATCACTAACACAACATGTATCAATCAGACTCTGGGATTTCATCGCCGATTGCAAAGAAATTGTTAATCTTGCCGAATTTGCAACCCAACATTTCGAGCAACATAAAAGACCCTTGAGGATAGCAGTTGATGAGGCAACTTGGAGACATAAATTATATATTAGCAACAAAGCGAAACTTTGTAAAGGTATTTTTTGCGATTTGAACTTCATTTGTGCGTGTGTAGATTCTAAATCTGATACTGAATAATCTCAGAATATGCAAATCTCCATCTCAACGAGCGAAACCTTATATCTGTGGTTCTACGGCTCTTGAAATTGAATATCCAGCTGGTTTTCGTAGCAGATGGTCCTTACAAACCGGGTGAGAAATATGGCGCCAAGGGAGGTGGAGTGTGGAAGTATAAAAGCGAAGTTTTGCAAAGTTGTTTGAAGCTTTTAGGAGTGAAGTGGCATGAGGCGCCTGGGGAGGCGGAAGCGGAATGCGCGGTTTTGCAGAGGAGAGGGATGGTGGATTGTGTTTGGACGGAAGATGGTGATGCGTTGATGTTTGGGTGTGGGGTTTTGATGAGATTTTGTTACAGTGATGAGGAGGAGGAGGAGAATGGGGAGAAGAAGGAAAAGGGGAAAGGTGGTGGTGGGTGGACGGCGAAGAGGAGTGGGATGAAAGATTTGGATAAAGTGGTGCTTTATAGAGCGAGTATCATTCAAAGCAAACATCCGGGTTTTGATATGGAGGGCTGGTTACTTTTTGTGTTGTTGAGGGGAGGAGATTATGGGAAGGGATTACATGGTTGTGGGGTATGGAAGGCAAGTAAGGTTGTTGAATTGGGGTTTGCAAAGGAACTTTGTGAGGCGATGAAAATATCAGGGGATCTTGAGATTTGGAGAACCAAATTACGGAAACATTTTGTGGGATCCAATGCAGGAGTTAGCGTTCCTTGGAATTTTCCGGATGAAAGAATTTTAGGTCTCTATAAGTCACCCAGTGTTTCTTCCGTTGAAAGACTGGGAAGATTGGAGGAAAATCTGTGGAGTGGGACAATTGACGAGAAGAAACTACAGCCTTTTCTATTGGAAAAGTTTGATTGGGGAATCAATAAATATCTCGACTACATCGTCCCAGTCATTCTCACACAGTCTCTAGCTTCCTTCGACCGGAATGGAGATTCCAACATTGACGAGTATAATCTCACATATATGGAATCCGGACTAATATGTAACGTGTGGTTTTCATTGTACGCCGTTACGTCTCTCGGAAAAGAGTGGGTGGACAAGTGTGTTGAGGATTTAAACAAGAGGCGCCCGAAAAGATGGAAACGGTATGAAATACCATGGGGAAATGGACCGATGGGAGAGGGGAAGGGATTGTTAACATGTGTTGTCAAGCATGCGATGGAACCAGAGTTTTCTCCAGTACCTGATGCTGAACCGGAACTCGAACAGTCTATTTCTCAAAACAGAAGACGATCTTTTTCACGACATAGAATGGTTCTCGAAGACAGGACACGAATTAAAAAACCTCGAGTTTCGATTTCACCTCCACCAACACCGACACCTCAAGATCGATTCGCGGTTACGAAAGAAGAGATATCGTTTAATATTTCTTTGTATGAAGATTCAGACGATGATTTATTTGCTGAATCTATAGAGAAGGTCTCAAAACCTTCGAGGACATCCACAGTTTTCGACAGTCAGGAAAGGCAGCGGGGCTATAACACAAATACAGAGATGAAGCTGAATTCATCCAAGCCTCTCAAATCCCCTGGAAATTCTGTCTATAAGATTAGATCACCATCACACACTAGTCACAAACCTCAGTCAGCCCAAAATTCTCCCACAAATCTTCTCTCCAGCTCCAAACACAAAGCTACACCTCTTCCCCCCTCAACTCAATCTGTCACCATAGATGAAGAATATAGAAACACATTCCACATCGCCATGGACGAACCCCTAGACTCAGACCTAGACTCAGACCTAGACTCAGAATTTGAATTTGAATTTCCCAACAATTCATTTCCTGAAACCAAAATCCCACCACCTCATCCAATCGACTACCAAACCTCTCACTCCCACATCATCGCAAATCCGCAACCGACTCTCAACCCCCTCAGTCTTCTTCCCACCCTCTCCCTACCCCCCAACAACCTCCCCACCAATCTCGAAAACGACACATTCACAAACGACACATTCACAAACGACCCATTCACAATCGCCATGGACGAACCCCTCGACTTCGATCTCGATTCCGAAACCGAGTCTCCGAACACAACATCCCAATCCCATACTTCCTCGATCCCAAATCCGCACCATAACACACCATCTTCAAATCTCTTGGATACCAACACCAATCAATGGATATCTCCACCACATCCACATCCAAATCCCAATATCCTCCTCTACCCTTCCCATCCTACGGGTCCTTATCAAGAACTTGATATTTCGTCTTTTTTTTCTTCTTCTTCGCTGTCTCAATCTCAATCTCAATCTCAGTCACAGTCACAGTCACAGTCACAGTCACAGTTATAATCCTAATCTCAATCTCAATATGTTTCTCCATCTATCTCTCATTCCCAAAATTCCCCCTCTCTCACATAATCCCTCAATCTCAATCTAACATAACATTCCTCAGCATCTCAAATAAATATCTAAAATCAAGAGAAGCTATAGTATAATATAATATACTCCTACTATATATCATATATCAGAATCACATACATTGAATCTATCATTTAATCAAGATCGAATTCCCATTCTATCTTTTTATCTAGATAATCTAGATATCAGATCAGATATTAAAATCCAAGTCAAAATCACTTTCTCATTACATCATGTTAAAATAACATCACCATCACTCCCAATCAATCAAACAAACGACAAAATAAATGTTAATAATCTTTCTGATTTTATTATTACATATATATCTGATATGTATCTGTAATATATCCATCATCATCATCATCATCGAAAAGCCAAGCCAAGCCAGCTAGGTAGATAAGTAAATTCCCGGTTTCATCCAAGGAAAAACCCATCACCAAAACTACTCGCTCGCTTCCTTTCCCCCATCCACCTTCTGATTTCTGTATAAAGAGTTGAGATTTATCTTTTGATGCATGCATATCCGTGTCCTATACACCATGCATCCATATATTCCATTCCATTTCTTCGCCTCGCCTCCAAAACGCCATACTACTAGTAGCTAAAAAAGCACACTAAATTCCACCCCAAACCCTCAAAAACGCCATCATCCAGATCTCGACATCGTAGAGTTCTAAAAGTAAGAACTCTACAATCTCAAAAGAGTTCGGATATTTTATTATCTAATAAAACGAACAAAGGAAAAGAAGAATCTTGGTCTGACCAGCCAGCTGAAGCAGAATGCAAGTATACAAGCAAGCAAGCTCAACTGCTAATCAAGACCTTGATACCCATAATCCACCATCATCATTTGGATGTGCCATTGCACGGGTATCATAACATACTTGAACAAAAGAAAAGAGGTATTGTGAAGCGCGAAATAGAGACAACCGAGACACTTGAGTCAAAAGAACTCGAATCAAAGAACAGACTAAAGTAGCGAAACTAAGCGAATGCGATCAAGTGATACTTAAGAAGTTTCGACATGACCACCACCAAGCAATTCCAGAATCTTGTTAGAAACAGCTCCTGGGTATCCTCTGCTAAGCATTTCCTGAACAACATCCTTAGCGCTTTCTCTATCCTCAACGGCAAGATAAGCTCTAGTCATTGCTTCGTAGGTACTTGGCTCTCGCTTTTCTCTTCCGACAGTTGCGAATATCGATTTACTCTTTTCAATGTTGCGCTCATTAGCCCAACCATGAATGAGTGTGTTGGCAATATATGGAGTCATTGCGACACCTCTAGCAGACATATCGGCGAGAACGGGTTCGGTATCAGCGACGTTGTGATTAGCAACCATGGATTCAAACAAAGCTTGGTAGAGACATGCTTGAGGACGGATAGAGGAGTCAGTCATAACGGAATCGAAAACCTTTCGAGCACCTTCCATATCATGCATAACACAACCCTTGGCGTGAATCAATGAAGAGTAGTGAACAGCTTCTGGCTTCTCACCATTCCTACGAATGGTATCGAGAATGGCTTCGGCGGCTGTCATATCAACAGGTTCGAGAGTCGCATGAGTATCGACAAGTAACTTGTAAGTGTGATTGGTTGGTTGAATACCCTTGGACTTCATTCGTTCGTAGTACGCGAGAACCTTTGTCTTATCACGCTTGGTGGTGAGGAAGAATTGCATCAAGCTGTTGTACGGAGCGGGTCTAGCCTTGTAGTTTGGCATAGCTTCCATCTCTTCGAACAATTCCTCGGCAAACTTTTCATCACTAACACGGCAAAGAGCATTGACGATTGTACCATAAGTAACACTTGTTGGGCGAATACCAAGAGCACGCATCTCGGCAAAGTAAAAGAGACAATCATCAATACGACGAGCCTTTCCGAGTTTACCAATGAGAGCATTATACAAGAAGGACGAGGGTTCAACACCTTCAGTCTTGGCGCGGTGGAAGATCTTGACAGCTTCTGAAGCTTCATCAAAAGTCTTGGTTGATTCCTTCAAAGTGGTAATGTAAAGACCGAAAGTGTTCGCTGTTGGTGCAGCACCCATGTCAAGAAGTTCTTGATGGTATTGGGCAGCAAGGTTGCGGTTTCCAAGAGTCAGGCAAGCACCAACCATAGCGTCGAGGATTGAAACCCAACCATATCGAACGATAGGATATTGAACAAGTAAAGGTACATCAGCTCGTGCCATACCAAGAATATCATTGACCAAAGGCATTCGTTCCTCGCGAGCAGCAGCAGAAATTAGCTTAGCATAAGTAATGTATCTTGGATGACGACCAGCGCGACGCATATTTCTGAATCTTCCCATGGCATCATTAAGCTTGGATGCTTTACCACGACCAGCACCTCGCTCGAGTTCATCAGCGATAAGAGCTGAGCCTTTGAAATCGGTAGAAGCGGCATATGGGTCAAAAGTATCCTCGAATGTAGGTGGTGCAACATATACAGCAGGTTGAAAGCTTTGTTGATACATAGCTTCGGCCACTGCTGCGTCGCGGGGATCGACAATACCATGTGACTTCATGAATCGGGCAATGAACTCAACACCTTCTTCAATCTCATCAGCCAGGTGAGAATTTACATCGATAGCAGATTCTCTGATTCTTGAAAACATTTGTTCGGATTGTGTGAGACCCTCAAGAACCTGTCCGGAGCCAATCATAGCCACAGCGAACATGGCAGTTGGTTCAATGAAGGCGGATGACACTGGCATTTCCGCGGCAGTGAGGATGCCCCAGTATCTTTGAGCTGCAGCGACATCACCACTGCGAACACTCAAAGCCAACAATGCCATAGTTGGCTTGGCAATAGTTGGATCGGGATTGACGTGAGAGAAAGCAGCGACAGCAACAGATTTTTCTCCTTTGTCGGCAGCATGCATTGAGATTGTGCTCATTACCGTAGACTTGGTGGTGGGTTGAAGACCTTCAGCCCAGCTAAGAGCATCAGTCAACATATTGCGTTCAAGAAGACCCTGGACAAAACCTTCACCAATAAGTACATCTCTGAAGGCCTCAACATCTTCTCCGTATCCTTCGACAATTCTGTTGTAAAACTTCATGGCCCCTTCCATTTTATCGGAAGTGACGTAAGCTTTGACAACAGAGGCGTAGATATGTGCGTCTTGACGATCAGACAATTGAAGTTTGCCGCTATCATCTGCGACGGCCAACTCTTTGTACTCGTTGTAACATTCGACAGCACTACTTAAATCACCTGATTTGGTAAAACCTTTGATCATGTGTGGGAAAGTAGCAGCCAATGGCACGACCTTGCTAGTCTCCATATGTTCATACAATCGTACCATATCTGGGACTCGACCAGCATCAGCACAGGCAGAAATGAGCTGATGATAAGTCTCTGCTGGGAATGAACGATCCGTGTGGTACGAGATTGATGCATCAAACAACCTAACGGCAAGATCTAACCTGTCATCTTCGGCAAGGATAGCAAACTCCAATTCATTGGAGGCAAACATAAACTTGCCCGGTTCTTCCATTCCACCAAATCTAACACGTTTCTCTTCCAATGTCTGTTTCAATGAAGTTACAGTAATGGATCGAGAAGCAATCAATTTGATAAGTGTGTTGTATGTCGCAGTATCTGGCGAGACCTTTCGTCTAAGCATATCAGAATAAACGTCAAGTGCCTTTGGAACAACTTGGATCTGATCGGCAGGTAGATGAATAGCGGCATCAAGAAGAGCGTTGTATGCAGTTGCCGTTGGTTTGATACCACCGACAAGCATAGCCTCAAATACTGCGGGAATTTCAGCATGTCTGCCGCCTTCCGCAAGTTTGGTGAGATGTTCGGCATAGCTCAATGATTGAAGATCGGAAGCTGAGGTGGCTGATGTAACAGAGCTAACAGGTGATCGCGAACGTTCCGATTTCTCGAAGTTAGTCTCGACTGTGAGAGCAGGTGACTGAACTGGCGCAATAGGAGGTGTCGGTACACGTGCTGCAACAACACTCAATTCCGCCTCGAATGCAGCTTGATTCTCTCTCGATTGAATTTCCTTTTCAATCGCCGCATCAATCTTTGCCAAGGCAGCTTCTTCCTCGGCCTCAAAATGAACTTGCTTGATATCATCTACCGCACTAGTGCTATAAGACCTCTCGACCTGCTTAGGGGTATCCTTCGTCGCATCACTAGCAACAACATTGCTCTTTCCCTCTCCATCTACCTGAATCGAAGCTGGTTTCCATTCGATGCATTTTGGGAATTGAGCTTTCTTCTCCTCCTTTGCTAATTCATTTGCCTTCCAGGCATCTGATAATATCTCTAACCCTTCTGGTCTATCCTGCACGAGGGTCGTACCAGTGGAATTGGAGCTTGTGTGAAAAGCATTTTGAAAGGTATAAGTTGGTAGGTGGCCAAGCTTGCTAGTTCGACGTTGTAATCCTCGACCAGATCGGTTCTGGTTTGCTAAAGTTTGAGGGTGAGTTGCGGCGACGACAGATTGAGCGTAACCGTGAGTAACTGATTTTGCAAAACCTTGACGTGCAAGATTCGAATATAGACTGTTGTAGATGGGCATTTAGGGATGGTTTGACCTCTCAGGATTGGTTGAGAGGAGACTATAAGAAGTTTATGTCAGCTTCCTACCACTTCAGTATTGTATTGGAACTTTCTTCGCACACATGCGCAAGAAGTTATAGTATGACTCAGAGTTTGTGTTGTATGGATTGAAATTGAGAGGAAGGGTCCTGGAAAGGCTTACTTAAAATCTCAAAAATTCAACAATCGCAGGTTCATTTGACAGCTCTGCCGTCAAACAAACGCGCTGTTTGAGTTTTGGAGGGGAGATTTGGGGTAGGGTAAAGAAAGTGAGTGACTTTGATCTTCGAATTCAAAGAAAGTCCCGAATTTCCGACTCTCTTCTGAATGAGTTTGAAGGGTGGCGTTTCTGAAAGATAAAAAAAAAACCTAAGGTTGTTTGTTGGTTGTATGAGGGATTGAAATTGAAGGATGTGAGATGATAAAATATAGTCAGTATAACTTTTTTCCCACTAGGATAAGCAAGCCTCCTTCAGGTGAAGTAGATGACGAATTGATTTGATATTGTAGTCGGTGCCTTCGGTTCGGATGATCAACTTCACATGCAGGTGAAGGATGTTTGAACTTTGAATGCGAGAATGCTTGGACGTAGATACCAGGTAGTGTAGTGCAGGTGGTAGGTATTCTTTTGGTGAACGAGTATATTCAACCTTGGAAAGACTCGAAAGACTCAAACGTATACAAGACGGGATAAGATCAAGCAAATGGAATGAATTTGATTTGTTCAACTTTCTTTTTCCTTTTCCTTTTCCAAATTATCAATAATCAGTATCGCATTCCAAAATTCGGACCAGGGCTGAAATGGAATTTTGTGCGCGCGTCAAAAGTCTTCCACTCACTTCCTTCTCGCATTCTCCTTCCAACCCTACGAGAATCTTTCGGCAGAGAAAATAGAGAAAATGTTAAAAATTCGATAAAATGTGACTCCATTGCCGTAAAATCTGTGTATAATCCCGGTATTATCCTAGCGGGACTGTGAGTGAATTAAGACCTTTTGGGTAAAGCGCGTCAGAGTTAGATCCAAGAACGCGGGTCTAATTCTAGCGTTGAGCTACTCCACGCGGTATACTTGCATATGATTGGTTCATCTGTCTGTCATGGTATCCCCGTTTCTTTCACGGGCGGACGGAGACGGATTTAACAGATCCCAAAAAGGTACCTGGTAATAAGTAGTAACAACTCGTACTCTAATTCGTACATCATGCATGAGATCAACCACAATTTCGCAATCTCACAAATTCACCGGCTCGATGGGATCGGAAGATAGAATAGTCCGAAGATCCAAGAACGACGACAGGTGAATGAAATACTCGGAACCGCGGGATAAGGTTGTCCATGTAGGAAAGACGGAACCGGAAGAAAGAGGAATCTTACCTACAGTTACATTGTACTTCGTACGTCAACATGATTACTTGGTCTACCTATCTGCCTTCTTCCTGTTATGCCACATTGTCAATACAGCCAGCAATCTGTCATCAACTACGACTCTACGAGGTAATCTTACCATCGAGACTCGAGTGAGGCATTACGCGGAAACCCCCTCAAATGAATTACCCGTCTTCCATTTACGCATCATCTCATCATGGAAAGAGACTCAAGCACTTACAAGCCATTTCCCAGTATCTACATGATTCTGGTGGTGGCTCATCTCATGCTACGATACCGCTTCTCACCTCTATCTACCGGTAGTCTGCATGGCGATAACGCACTCCAAAGTATGTTGACATGATTGATATGCGTATCGTATTCAAAGTAGGTGATCGATCAATCCACGACATCAAATTGGGATAAAATTCCCATGGAACCAAAGAGAAGCTATTCAGAACTCAAATTCCACACGAGAAACCCAATGATATCGAAGGATTCTCAGCCCAGTGAAGTCAAGACTTATCAAGTCCAATCTGCAGAGAAGAAAAAAAAACTCGCAATTTCGTGATCCTCTTTATTCATGTGGAGTCATCAAAGTGGAACCATATATAAAAATGGAGCCTTTAATATGGGGCATCCAAAACCTTAACCTTTTCAAATCCCATTCTCGGACACTTTGCCGAATTTGATCCCGTTGGCCATTGACCCACTCGAAAGCTCACACTAATGACATTTGTCAACTTGTCACCTTGACTCTCTGGTGAGTCTGATCCCAGCTTGTACTGTACATTCGCCGCAATTGTCATATTTTCGCATCCAGGCTGACCTAGGTCTTACACATTCGCTGACCAAATCATTCAGTCCAGTCCAGTCCAGTCTCGATCATCATCAAAGAACAGGATGACTAATCGTATAACGGCCGTATCGGCACCGGGCAAGGTCTTCTTAGCAGGAGGTTATCTGGTATTGGATCGTGATTATACCGCCTTGGTATTTGGTCTTAGTGCTCGAATTCACGTGTTGGTTCAAGACATCGAGACTACCTCTGGTGTTCAGCTCTCCGATATCATTGTAAAGAGTCCTCAATTTCGGGAAGCAGCTTGGAATTATGGATTCCACTTGATTAAGGATGATGGGGGCATTGAAGTTACCCAATTAAAAAGGTAGCATATATTTCTTCCCTTCTTGACCATCACCTTGACTCATTTCATCATCTTTCTAGCTCTCCATCAGCATCAGTTTCTCGAAATCCATTCGTAGAAACAGCATTACTCTACGCACTAACCTACATATCCTCCGTTCTTCCATCCACTACCATCAAACCAACCTCCATCACAATCCTGGCTGACAAAGACTACTACTCCAACCCCTCTACCAAAGCCATTGCCTCAGATGCACACCATCAATTTCTCGACTTTGGCGTCCGTCTCGAGGACGCCCATAAGACCGGTCTCGGCTCTTCTGCAGCCTTAGTGACTGCTTTCACCGGTGCAATTCTCTCCCATTATCTTCCCTCCTCAAAATTCTCTCTCAATACCAAAGAAGGCCAATCTCAACTTCACAACCTAGCCCAAGCAGCCCATTGTGCAGCCCAAGGAAAAGTCGGCTCAGGTTTTGACATTGCAACAGCTGTCTACGGCACCTCTCTCTACCGTCGCTTTTCCCCCTCCATCCTTTCTTCTCTGGGTGAACCAGGCTCCCCAGGTTTCTCCACTCGCGTTAAAGCGTCAGTTGAAGACACCGCCCCTCAAAAATGGGACACCCAAATCGAAAAAGGCAAAATCACCATCCCCAAAGGTATGGCTCTCGTCATGTGCGACGTAGATTGTGGATCCCAAACCGTCGGAATGGTAAAAAAGGTTCTCGAATGGCGAAAACGTGATCCCGTGGTCTCGAAAGAATTATGGGATGAATTGCAATCGCGAAACGAGAAATTGGCAGAGGTTCTCTCTTCCGGAAATGATATTAGTGCAGCTGGCCCAGCTTTCTCGGCTATTCGAGAAAAAATTAGAGAGATGGGTAACCTTTCAGGAGTTCCGATTGAACCTGAAGAGCAAACGAAATTGCTAGATGACGTCATTGAGAATGTGGAGGGGGTGATTGGGGGTGTGGTTCCTGGTGCCGGAGGCTATGATGCGATTGTGCTCCTGGTTAGGGATGATCAGGAGACGATGGATCAGATTAAATCTTTCCTGGCGAAATGGGGGAATGTGAAATTGTTGGGTGTTAAGGGGGAAATGGATGGTGCGAGAGTGGAGGATGGTGGATTGTATGGAACGTTGCGTGTGTAGATGGATTGGGGATGGATATTGAGATGAGGGTGTGCATGTCTCTTGCTTCTTCTCGCGGGGAGGTTGCAATTGAAATATCTAACACTTATTACGTAGTTTTTGGAATCAAAAATGTACCTACCTATCTATGCCTGCTCCTCTCTCTCTTTATCGACACGATCTATCCACATGCTCTATCAACCCCATAGCAAATTAATCTAACCTCGGATTGGAACAAATAAGTTGCTGAAGAATCTGATAGTTTGATAGGAGATGTAGATATCGATATCCACTCGGATATTAGAAAATCAAAGAGGTGGGTAATGAGAAGCAAGACTTCTTATTGTATTGACTCAATTTTTGGGTCGAAATGATGATTGTTTCAATTGATATTGAGTATTGAAAAGAGTATATAATTTTGATGTATCTCTATCTCGTCTAATAGATACGTCGAGGTAGGGGTACCTACTACCTAGTCTAGTCTAGTCTAGTATCCTCCTATCGTAAGACGATAAAGAATGGTGGGGTAAAATAGAAATTTCCCTTGACGAATGACTCAAAAAAACAACCGCAACAAACCACCCTCTCAACCCCTCCAAACCAATTTACAAACTGTATTCTCCACGCCTCATCACCCGCGCCATCAGCAGGGCAAACATCCAATTCTTCAGAACCATGGCCAGCTTCTCCTCCATCAAATATACACCCGCCGAGGAAACCGAGCTCAAGCAATGGACGCTCACTTCTGAGCGCCTCAAGACCTCCAGCTCTGAAACCCCCTCTCTCCTCGATTCTCTCAACACTCATTTAGCATCTCGCACCACTCTTCTTGGCTCCAAGCCTTCGTCTGCCGATATCGCTATCTACGAGAGTTTGGCACCGCAGGTCGCAAAATGGAGCAGCGAGGAACGAACGGGTGAGAAGGGCCATCCGAATATTGTGCGCCATGTGGATTTTGTGCAGAATTCGCCGATTTTTGGACTAAACATTGAGGAAGAGAAGAAAGTTAAGGTTGATGCTGAGGAGATCTTATATGTTAAGCCTCCTGTTGATGCCAAGGCCGAGAAGGAGCGATTGAAGAAGGAGAAAGCTGCCGCTGCTGCTGCCGCCGCAGGAGGTGAACAAAAGGAGTTGGCAGATCGAACCAAGGAAAAGAGCGACAAGGGAGTTGTAGCTCAAGTCGCCGAGAAGGTTGCAGAGGCAAAAGATACAATTGTTGCTGCTGTCACTGGCGAACAACCACAATTTCCCAGACAAAAGAAGGAGAAGAAAGAGAAGGCTCCCAAACCTCAAAAGGCTCCTGCTCCATCTGCCCCTCTTTCTCCATGTTTGATCGATCTCCGTGTTGGACACATCCTCAAAGCGATTAAGCATCCCGAGGCTGACTCTCTATTTGTCTCCACCATTGCTATGGGTGACAAGCCCGGAACCGATGATACATCTGAATACGAAGGACAAGTTGTGCGAACTGTCTGCTCTGGTCTTAATGGACTCGTTCCTCTCGAGGAAATGCAAGGTCGCAAGGTAGTAGTTGTGTGCAATCTCAAACCCGTCAAGATGCGTGGTATTAAATCATGCGCCATGGTCTTAGCCGCCTCTCCCAGACTCAAGGAAGGAGAAGAAGATCACCACGCCGGCCCAGTCGAACTCGTTACTCCCCCAGCTGAAGCAAAGGCCGGCGAGCGAGTTTTCTTCGAGGGATGGCAGGGAGAACCCGAGGGTGTTTTGAACCCAAAGAAGAAGGTTTGGGAGATGATCCAACCTGGTTTCACCACAACTGCAGATTTAGAAGCTGCTTTTGACGCGGGTGTTGTAAAGGAGTTGAGTAAGGAAGGAGAGGATGCCAAGACTAGCGTTGGAAAATTGGTTACTGTGAGTGGTGGTGTTTGCAAGGTCAAGTCTTTGGCTGGAGCTATTATTAGATAAAGTGTACAAGCAACCCAAACGACAAATTGCACAATTGAGAGGAGAGCATTAGGGGGGGTGTATGGAAGTTAAGAGATAACAAATCACGTAGCTACCAACAGACCTCGTGTATGATACCACGAATGATATTCACGTATAAGAATAGATGAATGAGCATTGCCCTGCTCTATTGCACAAGTACCTACTGGACAAGAACCAATTATTCCAAAAGATGAAGTGAAACGTGATAGATATAATATGATTAATGAGATTGATATATTAGATATACCTATTAGATAATGTCCAAATATATTCAACGCCCTTGTTATTTCTGCAAAAGCTTAATGACTTTTCCATCCCAATGCTAATCCAAAAGAATGACTATAGCCATTCACATATTCACCAGGTCTATCCATCCAACTCACAAGACTATACATATATATATATATATATATATATATATATATATATATATATATCCCAAGCCTCAGATCTAGACTATCCATGCTACACAGGTACACACCATTGAAAATGCCCAACTTTTGCAATCCCATCTCCGTACTTTTTCACGCCATATATTCCATGCGATCGGTAGGTAAAGAAAAGCAATCTTTACGCCAAGCCCCCGGATTCTCAATCCAGAAGTTCTCCATCCAAAGCGTGGGTTTCCAAAAGTACAACTCCAATGTTTCGAGAGAAATTCAACATGCAAAGTCCGTGTGTTCAGGACATCCTATATCCTATCCCCGGATCGCTTAAAGATCAATTTCCTCGGATCAAACCCGTCGTTATCATCATCGTCATCGTCATCGTCTACTTCCATCGCATCATCCACCTCCAACTCTACTGGTCCATTCGAGACAGGAGTTATGGCTGGAAGAGATTTCGATCCATTGCCATCTGGATGCTCTTTCGAACCATCATTTTCATTCTTCTTTTCCACTTCCACTTGCAGCAACGCCTCCTCGGCTCTCAACTTCTCAATCTTCCTCTCCGCAATCTCCTTCACTTCTCCCAATCTCCTTTTAATATTCTCAATCTCCGTACTGCACTCTCCATCGCGCAGGAATTGGTGAGCAGCGTGTTCGCACTGTCCCTGACACCATTCAAGTCCCTTATCCAACTCATCAAAAATATCTGGGGAGTTTCCTCCCGCTCCCTCGATTCCCCCACCGGCTCGACGATACCCCCGTAACACATTCATCGTCTTTCCAATATTCTTGCGGTCGCGCGTCGAACCCATCTTTCGCGAAGATGGGAATTTGAGTTTGGCTCCCGCGCGCGCATCTCCATTTGCGCCGTTGGAAGTGGAGTCCGCGCCCGCGTGAGGTTGCAACGAAGGCTTGAGCAACGCACTGCCCAATACTTTTGACGCTTCGGATTCGGATTCGTCATCGCTTTCTTCTTCTTCGGCTTCCATTTCGGCAGCTCGTCTCATCTCGGCCATTTTGGCGGCCATCTTCCCCTTTCGCATGGCGTTCCGGTTGCCGCTCACAAATTTGACGAGTTCTTCAAAAGCCGTCTGGACCGCGCTGTCGTAGTATACTATGATCATGGATCTGGTTCTGTATTTTGGGGCGTGGGAGTTTCCCGATGCGAGGGATTCCGTTTTGCGTTTTCGAAGGACGGCGGGGGCTCGTGGGAGGGGTTCCGTGGGAGGTGTAGGTTGCGAGGATTGCCGAGTTAGAGCGTTGGGAGATGCTCGCGGAGTAAGGGGCTCGGGCGATTGGGGGGCTGCTTGAGAGGGGGACTGATTGTATTCGAGGGCGGCGGCAGCGGCAGCTCGAGCTACGGATGGGGAATTGGGACGGGCTTCGGAGGAGAAACCATTTTGTGCGGATTTGGGGGAGCCGATGGGAGATGAGGGGGTTTGCTTGGGCTTTTCGGATTCGGTGATGCCTTCTTCGCCATCTTTGGGTCGTAGTGACTCGGTGGAACCTTTGTTTTTCACGGAGCGTGCAGGTTTGTGATCTGTCAAGCGGGCAAGCTCGATTTGTCGTAAAGCTATTTGGCCGTTTAAGTCGTCTAGTCGTTTGTTCCAATCCGGTATGGATTGGGTTAGACTCGTCAACGCATCCAATGTCGAAAATGTCGTCATGATGAATTCAGATCAATGTAAGTTAAAAATGATATGGTGAGAGCGTTTTGAGTGTGGATAGTATTATTTGGAGTGTATTGGTTGTGGCAGAGAATATATTTTGTCTGATTCGAGGTAAGTAGTTCAGGAAGTCAATGGACATCATACTAGTACCATCATCACTGCGTCATTATGGGGAATAAGTAAATAAACAGCTGGACAATGCGTGCGACTCTTTGCGCGGAGAGGAGATGAAGTAGAGTGATTCTGATCTCTTTGCTTCAATTACAAGACCCGAAGGACTTTATTAACCAGGAGTGTGATCTGTAAATGAAGGATATAGATATGGAGTATCCAATATGTATCTCGGACTAACTGCTCACACTACTCGCATGCAAGTTTGAACAGGCGATTATAAGAGGATGCGGATACCGACCTATATCTATAAGAATATTATTGCATGAAACTATAGTTCAACTTACTTGTAACCTTACATAGGATAGTGAGAAGGTATTGTGTGATGTTTTGTTTTGTTCAATCAATTTTACTTTTTTTCTTCTTACATCGATGCAGACCGACCTGGAGAGTATGTATGAGTGTGGTTGGTGGGTGTGGGATGAAATGTATGGTAGGGTGTAGATGAATGGAATCAAGGGCAGAGGAAGTGATAAGCCGTCTTCAATGAAATGGCGTAAACTTAATCCTGGTACATCGGATTTGAACGCTAATGATATCCAGGGATTTTTTGGATCTGTGGACTGTAGACTGTGGACCCCTTCATTATTCAAGTTCATTGTCAGTGTCAGAAATCAATAAGCGAATCATCCAATTCATTTCCATTTTCTATACTTAATTAGCAAACAATATTGAAACACAACGGAGGTACGAGGGTACTTCCGGCAAAAAGAAGAATAAGAAACAGCATGAGAAATTATAATTGGAGGAAACATACGGCACGAGCCGTTAGAGCTCTTACAAGACAATATCTTCCCTGAAGCTTCATTGTGAATCGTGATCAGTATCCAGAAGGCACATCAAGTTTCATGTATTTCGTATGGGGAATACGAAAATGGGAAATCGAAGAATGTTACAGAACACGTAATGATACAACGCAGCAGAGCAAAAGAAGTTTCACCGAGCGGTTATTTCCTTCAAAGTCGTATCACTTTTTCATTTCAACCAAGCTGTCGGTACCTTGACAACAACCCGATAGATTCAGATTACTGTGTATGTAACTTATGCCTCGGGAAAGTGCAGACGAACTGATATCGTTTGTTATGGGTTCTGCTGCGGTGCCAGTGTGGATGAAGAAGATAGTTTTCTTATGGTATAGGAACTTACTTGCCTTTCGAGGATTGATAATCTGTTTCTTCTGATAGGTATTCAGTCCTTGCAACCAACCATCTTTTTTCAGAGCAACTGTTAATCGTGTTATTCAAACAATCCTGCCGTGTTAATGTGGACGAGAGGAGTTCCCTATTCGAGAAATAGATGTTCAAATATAATGTCAAATCTCTCTGATAGGTCTTCGACCCTCACCAAACCCTTCCCAGCCTCCATTTCCCTCTTCGTCTTTTACTGCATCTATAGTTTGAAAAAATGTTGGTTTTGTTATTTACCTCGGAACTTTGTTGTCATCGTATTCCTACCTACTTTGTGTTCGTACATTTCCTGTCTTTCTGTTTATACCCCCCTCGTCATTAATACGTTGCAAAATTCCTATCTAGTAAACAACCCCTCGTTAGATCTCACGCGGAGAATAAATCACCAAACTTCTTTTGATTGCGGGAGAATACCTAGCTACTATTCGGGCTTTTATACGAGACTATACTCTTTTAACAACATAATCACCTAGGGATGTGAGAATGTATGTTCCTTTAGCCGCAATACAGTGTTGTTACGTTGATCTACCTGAATAACGAATCCCACTACATGATAGCTAGCTACCCTGTGTCGAGAAATGAGTCCATCTCACTCTAATACATTCAAAAAGTTTTCTCCATTAGACTACAGAATACACGGAGTAAAAAGCTCTGCCAATATAGGGCTTCCTATCATCTCCTCTACCCCTCCCGGGGAATCCATTCTACCCGATCCGGTTCATTTTCAGACGGTGAGGCATTTCGAGAATTAGACTAGAAGCATTCATGTCACCATCGTGTCTCGTGGCTTTTGGTTTTTAGTTTTTTTTTAGTCTATTGACCAGGACAGGGCCAGCAGGGGAAGACGAGAGATTTTTAGTCTGACTCTTCCCGTTCCTTGTCACACGTGCTTTATGCAGAAAACGGCCGCCATCGCTTTTTTTTGATGCATGGATTATGAGAAAGCCACTCAAGTGTTTGATACATGGGTGGAAATGGTGGGAAATGATACTTAAATGAACTGGAATTAGTTAGGCAGTCCGAAAATCCTGGTTAATGTGAAAGCTTACGAGCATTCGAGTTGTCTGCGGCAAACTTACCGCTGTTTTGTGAGGTATTCTCGGTATTGTATTTCGTACCAAACCACCAACCACCAACCACCAACCACCAACCGCAGGAAGCCAAGGTTTAGATAATTATGATCTCCACGGAGTTTTAAGGAAGGAGAAAGAAAAAAAGGAAGGCTTGAATTGAAATTTTTATTACAGCTTTGCATCTGCCGCATTGTCATTTTGCCGAGTCGGAGCTCTAATTGATAATTTATGGCCAAAGCTCTTCCTTCTTCCATTCCCCAATAATCTCTTCTCCCTTTCCAGCATCTCCATCGGGGCCGACGTAAGTAAATCTCCATCTCCTTGCTTTATCAGGTTCACTCAAATCAAGTTGTTCGATCTCCACAGGTTTGATAATCACAACCCTGAAATTCTTTCTGGAAGCTTCATCATTCAGATCAGTGACTTTTTGACCCAATTTCCAATTTGGATCGCTTGGTGGCTGCGAAACGGGTGTTCCAGGTATAGGATTTTTGAAAGAGCCTATAGATTGAAAGTTAGTCACAGTGTTCATCCAATGTCTACATTGTCTTTACCTCTCATTCCCGGGCTGATGTTGCCAAAGTGTGCAGTAAGTTCTTTTCCCCAACTCCAACCTTCTTTTCCATCTTCCTTCACAACTCTCATTCTCTCTCCAATCTTTGTCTTTACAGTTCGTGTTCCACTTGATTCTTGACCACTCCCTTCAATATCTTGACCTACGATATAAGCCTCTCCCTTCACTCTCCATTGAGTCATGACTTCTTTGATCCAGAAAACTGCTTCGACAGGTCCACCACCACCACTACCCTGACTCTGTTCTACCTCTCCATGGCCCTGTGAACTGGCAAAAAATTGGGGGACCTTCTCCATACGCACATCTGTGGTAAAGGTTGGAAGATCACTCTCGTAAACTCGATCATTCATTGGAGCATCATTGTGTTTGTTCTCTGGAAGCTCGGCCCACATTCCTCTGTAGATGCAGTAACGAGCTCGAGGAAGATAAGGAGTAGGAGAGTCCTTGTCATTGCTTGGCTGTAATGATGAGAGAACAAATTCCGGGGAATCCATCTTGGAGAGATGGGAAAGGAAAAGAGGACGCCATGGAGCTTGACCGATGGATGCTGGAGTGGTGGTTGATGTAGACATGGTGCGAGCGAGACGCAAAAGTCGGGCAGAGGCTTTGGAAGCTATTTTGAAAGATTGATTTCTAGTCGTTGACGGTTGAGATGAATACTGGATAAGTGTATATCGTAGCTTTATGGACACAACAAGTGGCGAGATTTTGGCAGTTGGCAGTTGGCAGTTGGCTCTTAGTTCGTTGTGAAAGTTGATGGATGACGCATTGATTGAAGCTTCAATAGAACAATTCAAAGCTTATGGTGGGGTGATTACATCCCACCAAAACCACCTCTGGCACTAAAATATTAGTACCATCATCTACCTACCTACCGACCTACCTACCGACCTACCTACCCAACTGTAAATCAACAAGATACGACTTTCAAGCCAACAACCATCTTCTCATGTTTGGGAATAGCTTCAATATCTCACACTTCAGATATCACATTACAAATGGGCGGTGATCATTGACCAAATTGACTTTGAATCACCCCAAGACAAGAAACTCCACATTCGGTGCATCATTGCCCGAATCCGCAAGAACATTTCTTTTACCCCAGATGATGATCACCATCAGGAGTCAGGACCCCTCTTCCAAGCTGGAAAACATGGGGAAAGCTTCTCGATGTGGCAATCTGATGAATGAGTTAAGGTTCCTGAAAAGAATTTTACCTCCAATTGAGGAGCTTGTTTATATTGCTTTCCTTAGGAGAGGGATGGATCTCACGGATTAATGCAACACACCGTCATTCAGTATGCGGAAAATGTTTGTATATATTCTCAAAATGTCTTCATCTGTATACTTTTGCCTGTCTTTCTGCTCTTGGAAATCTTTGTTTTGATGGTTTTTCTCCGTTTTCAATTCTAAAATATTGCATACACATTGAAGCTCTCGAATTGTGAGATTCCATATCATTTCTCGGCTCTTTCTGTCGCCCAAGATGCGTCTCATAATTGCTTCAACGATAGCACTTTTCTCCTCCCTCATAGCTGCGAAAGGACATCGTGGCTCTGACGTTGTTCCCGCTCCTCCCCGTAGCAATCATAAGACTTGCACGGTTCATCCCCTCGGAAACCATACAGACGATACTCCTCAAATCCTCAAGGCATTTTCAGATTGTAATCATGGCGGAACCGTCGTATTTCCCAAAAACAAAGAGTATTGGATCGCGACAAGATTAAACCCAATCATTTACGACGTAACGATTGATTGGCAAGGAATTTGGACTGTATGTTTGGGCTATCTTCCACTCACGAGAGGTGTGCTAACGATCGGACAGTTGTCGGATAATCTCACATATTGGCGAAATAATTCCTATCCCGTCGCATTCCAAAATCACGCTGCTGGTGTTGTCTTTACAGGAGATCGTATTCATATTAATGGAAAAAGTACTGGTGGGATCAATGGTAATGGAAATGCTTGGTACAATGCCGAGCAAGCAGTTAC